AGGTGCCATTGGCTGGCTGTGCAGAGCCTGGAGGGGTTGGCAAGTACTGGAGGGGTGGGCATGGGGTCGGGGTGAGGGGTAAGTTGTAGAAGGAGCTCTCTTGGGCAGCTCCCAGCAAGGCAGATGGTAAAGGTTCTTCCCCAAATTGAGAACGTTGTGACGTCCCTCCCAACTCCAAGTCTCCTCCTGAAGCTAACTTCTTGGCATTCAGACTCACTGATGCTCTTAAAGCTGTATATGCATGACTCCTCCTCACCAACATAAAGTCACCTGACGAAGCAACCTGAAGAAGGAAGGGTCTGTTTTGGCTCACAGTCTGGGTCTAGAGTTCTTTACGGAGGGAGGCACAGCAGCAGCCTGAGCTGTGGCAGGAGGCACAGACGATAGATCAGGACAAGGACAGCAGGCAGAAGCAGGGCGTGGTACACCTCTCAAGGTGTGTAACTTATTCCCAAAGTTCCTATAACCTCCCAAAAGAGTGCCATCAGCTAGAGACCAAGTTTTCAAACACACAATCCCATGGGGACTTTTTACACTGCAAACGTAACAAGCAGTTAGGGACAACACATGCCCCAGGAGCCGAGAATGTCAGACCAAGTTGTTCTTTCTCTGGAAGATGTAAACGAAAGCTTAAAGAAGCCATGTGACTCTCCTCACTCACCACCCGCTACTGTTAAGCATTTACCTCCTCCCCTTCACTGTCTCCCAGACAGCAGCCCCGTGAGACTTCCACCCTCAGACTCCCTGGCTCTCCACCTCCAAGACCACTCGGATATGAGCCGACCACCTGCCCAGGGGAAGTACATAGTACCAGGGCCTCTAGATTCCCATCTAAACTTCCTGGTGTGTCACTGACTTAATGCCTCAGTTTATCTTCTCTCTTCTCACTACTGCTATAAGCATCAAATACTCAGACATGGCTTAGTTTTAATGCAATCTGCTCTTCCTTCCCAGAAGCCTCTTTTCTGAGTTGCTGCCAACACACAGACTCTTAGGGAGGTAGAGGCAAATATTATCTCAGCTGCTGAGCTCCTCCCCAGACCTGGCAGATCCCCCTGCAGAGCTGGCCTCTCTTGGGCGCCCCTGTGGATTTCCCACTTCTAGCTAAAACATCTGGGATGGGTTATGGCTACAAGGTGGGGTGCCTGTCTCTTTCCTTCCCTGGGGGAGGAGGAAGTACTTATTCCCCTGATGTTCTTCTGCTCCATCCCCTCTTTCCAGAACATCTCTTCTTTCTTGCATTCTGGGATATCCTTAGAGAGGCTCTCCTTAAATCCCCAGTGGGGGAGTGATCAGTGCTGTGCATTCTGTTGTTTCCTCTTAGGTTACATTTAATTTCATTCTGTGTGTGTGTGTGTGTGTGTGTGTGTGTGTGTGTGTGTGTACATGCATGGCATGGCATGGAAGAACTTGTGGGAGATAGTTTTCTCTTCCACCTCATGGACCTGGGGATCAAATTTAGGTCATCAGATTTGGCAGCAAGCACTCTTACTGTTGAGTCATCTCCCACCCTTGTTTGCTTTTTAAATTGCTCCCTCTTACTCCAACATCTAATATTAGGTTTGGACAGTCCCTCAAAGTCACTTACCACTTGACCTCAGCAATTTTGCTTCAAAGTATAAAGTCAAAAGTACACCTATCCACACAATATGACTATGATTGTTATGATTATTCGTAACAGCAAAAAAAGCAGAAACAATCTGAGTGTTCAGTACCTGAGGATGATATACACAAAACGGGGCATATTAATACAATGGGCTGTGGTAGTATATTGTGTACCCTAATAAAATTTTCCTGAAGATCAGAAAACAGAACAAGCCATTAGATTAAACATAGAGGCCAGGCAGTGGTAGCATACACCTTTAATCCTAGCACTCGGGAGGCAGAGATCCATCTGGATCTCCATGAGTTCAAAGCCACCCTGGATGGCTTTGATGGACTGAATGGACTCAGTCTAGGAGAGAAACAGAGCCAGGCAGTGGTGACACACACCTTTAACCCCAGCACTTGAGATCTCGTGCCTTTGCTTGGGAGGCACACATACCTTTAACCCCAGCACTAAGAAGGAAGTGATATGGCAGGGCAGAGAAAGGTATATAAGGCGTGAGGAGACAGGAACTGAAGGCTTTTCAGGCTGAGGAGTCCTAGAGGTAAGAGGTGGCTGTGGCTTGTTGCTTTGTCTCTCTGATCTTTCAGCATTTATCCCAATATCTGGCTCCGGGTTTTTTATTAAAAAGACCATATAGGTATTTGCACAACAATGGGCTATTATGTGGCAATAGAAAAGAATGAAGTGCTGATTCATGCTATACTATGAGTGGGCCTTGGAAGCATGTTACTTAAAGAGGTTAGATATGAAAGATCACACGTTTTCTGTCTTAGTTACTTTTCTATTGCTGCGAAGACACCATGATTAAAAAAAAAAACTTATAGAAGAAAGAGTTTATTGAGGTTTATGGTTTCAGACAGTGAGTCCATGGCCATCATGGCAGGCAGAACGGTAGCAGACAAGCAGGCATGGCACTGGAGCAGTAGCTGAGAGCTTACATCATGAGATATAATCACAAGGCTTATTGAGCTGAGAAAGCTGCGGGCTTTTGAAATCTCCAAGGCCACCTTCTACAACAAGGCCACGCCTCTTAATCCTTCCAAAACAGCTTTGAACTGTGGACCAAGCATTTAATATAGGAGCCTATGGAGGCCATTCTCATTCAAACCAGCACACTCTCTGAAACCTGTAGTCCAAAAGCAGATCAGCAGCTGTCACTGGCTGGAGAGGAGTGAGTGACTGCTAATGGGGATGGCTTTCTTCCTGCAGAGAGGAAAATGGAGAAGATAGATTATGCCAGGGCTGTGTGACTGTTCGAATAAACTAAACCATGGAACTGTATGCTTACAGGAGAAGAGTGAGTCAGACCCAACTGGCCTTATGAGTGTTTGCAACTTATTGTCTCAGTCAGGAGAGCACCCAGGGAGACAGCTCCAGGCTCTTCCTCCATCACCTCCCCTTTACTCCATGCTGCCCCCTTTCTCTTCTCAGTGGTGGGGCAGCAGGGAGATTTGAGAAGGTTCTGGGACCACTGAAGGTCCTTGGAGTAGGGGGCAAAGCCTGTAGAGACCAGGACCAGCAACTGTGCCATGTTCCCAGGTCCATCGTCTCCAACATTTAAGGAGCTCTTTTCAAATTCTTAGTGCCAGCAAATCAGACTCTGACACCTGGATTCTATCACTGCAGATCATGGTGGGAGTTCAAAGCTAGCCTGATCTATATATTGAGTTGTAAGCTAGTCAGGGCTACTTAGTGAGACTCTGCTAAAACAACAACAACAACAACAAAACCAAAAACCAAAAAACAAACAAGCAAAAAAACAAGCTGGTGAAATAGCTTACAGGTGAAGACCCTTGTCCCCAAGGCTGGTAACTAGAGTTTGATCTCGGGGACCTACATGGTGGAAGGAGAGAGGAAACTCCTACAATTGTCCTCTGATCTCCACCTGTGAGCTGTGGCATGGTCCTCCCCACCCACACATTCAAACAAAAGAAATAAAAATATAATAAAAACTATACATACACACACTAGGGGCTGGCTCAGCAGTTAAGTATTACTGTTGCAGAGGACCCAAGTTAGGTTTCTAGTACCCACACCGGGCATCTCACAACCACCTCTAACTCTAGCTCCAGGGGGAGTCACACCTCTGGCCTCTGTACACACCTGCACTCACATGTGCAAACCCCACCACTACATATTTAAAAAAAATAAAGTGATCCTTAAAATACACACACACACACACACACACACACACACACACACACACACACACACACACACACACACACACACACACACACACACACACATGCATTGACATATCCAGGGATAAGAATGTATATTTACAATCTCTTAAATGGTTTTTTAAATAAATTGATACATTATACAGACAATGAGAGAAACATTGGTAAGGAAAACGGCAAAATAGTAACATTTGGCGACTGTGGGTGAAATGTCTGTGAGAATTCGTACTACAGGCTTCAATGTTCTTGTTAAGCTGGGAGTTATTTAGAAGAAGACCAGCTACTGAATGGGGCAGTCTTGTGGCTGAGGTGAAGGGAACTGGGCTCAGCAGTGTGTATGTGTTAATACACACACACACACACACACACACACACACACACACACACACACACACCTTACTGCAACATATGGGGAGTCTGTGTCATAGTGCCCATGAATTAAGACAGATACAAAGGGTCTACAGTCTCATTCTAGCTACGTAAGTTTCATACCAGGTGGAGCAGCAAGGTATTAGCGGAAATCATGTCCATGTTGAAGAGGTGGACACTGAGGAAGGGTAGGAGGAGCCTCCTTGGGGACCCTGGAGGAACGGAGAAGCTTCATTTCTCTATCTGGAGCTGAATGCTGGTTGAAAATTATCAGTATGTGCACTCATGTGTGCACTTTCTCTGTTCTTGCTGTTAACCTTCCTTTGAGAAGGCTGAGACTGCCCTACCCCCATCTTAGCATGGGGCTCTTGGATTCACACCCTCTTGAAAAAATTGAGGTATTCATACACATTCAATGGAGGTTGCATTTATCTTGTTGTTTCGTTGCTGAGCAACCGTTTAAGCTGCACAACCCAGTGAGGGCAACCATTAAGAACCAACGTGGGGGGTATGCTAAACAAGGCTCTAAGAATGATAGACGGGGAAGATTCCCACTCCCTACCTCCCTTGTATTCTCAGAGGTGGGGGGATGGGTTGGGCACATTGAGCGACACAGACCGTGCAGAAGGCTTGGCCCCTCCTGGCATGGGCTGCCTGTAGCCAGCCACTCTGCAGAGAGCCTGCCTGCCGCATCTATCACCATGGCAACTACCTCCCTAGCACTGGGGCTAAAATGAGGCTCTGTGGGTGTCCAACAGTGATTGGATTCTCCTCTGACACAATGAACAAACTGATGAGTCACTGAAGGGAAGGGCTAATGCTCGGGCACCATCGTTCCTGCTGAAATGAGGCGGACTGGAGGCTGGTGAAGAGCCCTCACGCAGAGAGAGGGGAGGAGAGTATCGGAAGGTCGGGGTGGGCAAGATTCCAGCCATAAGACCTCAGAGGTAGCCACTAAACTTAGGTGAAAATAAACAAAGGCTGCCCAAACGAGAACAAGCAGAGATGGTCTGCAGAAAAGGAGTCCACCATTACCTATTTGTGTTTGGTAGAGACTAAAGGCAGGCAGAAAAGTGAAACCTTTGTAATGAAGAACAAGCAAGGCTGGGTGGGGTGGGTAGGGAGGAGACCTGGCTGGAGGCCAATGGTGTGAATGAGGTGCAGAGGAGCTAGAGTCCGGACATTCCATGTGTCTGGAATGGAGCCTATTTACCTTTCTGTGGCTGGTCCTGAAGTAGAAGCAGTAGTAAACACATCCGGGGTCCGTGCTATAGACTAAACCCTGACCTGGCTGTGTCAGGCTCCCTGCTGCAGAGAATGGGACATGGCTCTCTGAACTGGCTGCGGCAGACCGTGGGACAGAGTTCTATTGTTACAAATGGTCTGGCCACCATCTGCTTGTTACCCAAGCAGTTTCTCCAGAGGTTGGAAAGCTCCAGAGAGGGGTGCTCACAATCGGGTTGACAAAGAAGTGGGGCATGAGGCAGGGTATAGAGAAACCGGAGGGCTAGCCTACTTGGAGACCCAGAGGAAAGCGATAGACGGGGTGAGGTAGGGAGGAGGAAGGCTTTTCTAATCTTTGACAAGACAGGATGGACATGAACTAAATGTGGCCAGTTGAGCAGGACTTCCAGGGCCTGGGTGCTCATGGCTCTGCCTCAAGCTCCTTCCTTTTCTGCCCCCATGTTACTGACAGTGGTGTGACTCTGTAAGAGTGAGAACAGTGTTAGGTATTGAGGTCTGAATGAGATGTCCTCAGAAGTCTCAGGCATCTGGTACTTGGTCCCCAGTTGGTGGCTATCTGGGGAGGATTAGGAAGTGTGTGTGTGGCCCTTGGTAGAGAAAGTATGTCACTGAGGGCAGGCTTTGAGGTTTCAAAAAAAACTGGTGCCATTTTGAGTCAGCTCTCTCTGCTTCCGGTTTGTGGATGGGGATGTGAACTCTCAACTGCTGCTCCAGTGTCACGGCTGCCAGCCCGCTGCCAAGCTCCCCACCACAGTGGTGATGTGCGCTCCTATGGAACCCAACTGAACACTTCCTTCTGTTGCCTTGGCCATAGTGCTTTTATCCAGCAACCCCAACTACGGCAGATAATTCTTAAGAGATTTTTGAGCTTCTGAACTAGAAGTTAAAGAATTTAAAAGAGTACATATTGTTAAGATTATAAGCTAAGGAAGCTATCAGAGGTTTAGTCTCAGGGCAGGTAACTATACCAGGTGGTGGGTAACTGAAGAGACCACAGTATCTACTAACACTGTGTGCAGGGAGACATGAAGATTCAGTCTGGGTGAGACTGTGTGCCTCTCCAGGGATGGGAGGGAAGACCGTGGGGGTGATTTCTACTGTCTGTTGTGTGTTATTTCTTACTCTTGTAGTTTATATACATGTGCACGTGCACACACACACACACACACACACACACACACACACACACACACACACAATTAGTCCTGGATGGTCTGGAACTCACTCTATAGACCAGACTGGCCTCAAACTCAGAGATCAGCTTGCCCCTGTCTTCCAAGATGTGTGCCATGATGCTTGGGCCCAAGCTCGTTTCTACCAAACTCATTGCCTGAGATTATTTCATCACCAATGGCTTAGTCTGAGCTGTGGAACATGTCAGGAGTGACGAATGTATTTTATTTTTCAGAAATATTTCTAGCCTTCCCTCTCTCTACATATGCATTTTCTCTATTACTGGGGAATCTGGCCATTTGACTCTTAACGTCTTTAGCTGTTCAGTGTAATAGATTGTCTAGACACACCAGGCTTCTCTCTTTCCCCTGCACACCCTTCTTGCCCACCTTGCTTTTGGGTCCCATTTCCAGGAAGAGGAGCGGGATGAGGAAGACAGAAAGGGAGGGGAGATAGGAACAAAGGGAGGTGAGAAGAGGAAAACAAGGAGAGTAAGCGAAGTGGGAAGGAAGGAGTTTAACACGGCACCGTAATTGCCCTCTGATTTGTTACTGTCAATGTTATTGCCCTCTGATTTGTTACTGTCAATGTTATTGCCCTCTGATTTGTTACTGGCAATGTTACGGTCGTGGTAAAGCTCTTGGCTTAGTTACCGTACCTCTGTTTCTTCAGGAGAGTTCTGTGCGACTGTTGCAAGGTCACAGGTTGGAGACACACTTAAGCTCACAGCAAAAAAGACAGAGTTGAGGACATAAGGACAGTGAGAAGTTGCTAACGCTAAATCAACGAGGTTTAAAATATGGAGCCCCAGAGTGAGGCAGAGCTGTGCCTTAATGCTTCTTCCTTTTTCCCTTCGTGCTAGTTTCCTGCCGTGAATCTGACAGCTCATCTGTGAAATGGGTGTATTTACTTTGCAGAATTGCTATTGATATTCATGGGACATAATAGGGACTTTGGCTAATTACTGTTATTATTCGTTTGCTATTGTCATAGTTCTTGCTCAAAAAATTATAGTGTGTCCTCCCACATGTCTTCCTGAGTCATTTTCTCATCGCATAACAAAATACCTGACACAAGTTGCTTACAAAGAAAAAGAGGCTCTAGGCTAGCCAAGGCTACACAGTGAGACCATGTCCCAGGGAGAGGGATGGGGAGAGGAAAAAGAGGCTTGCCTTGCTCAGTTTTGTAGGTTCAAGACCACGGTGTCCTTCATAATTTCATGTCTGGTGAGGATCCCATGATGACTGGTGTGTGGGGAGGGAGGAAGCCCTGAGTGAATATGTAAGGAGGGGATGAAGTCCTAAGGGAATGTGTATTATTGACATGGGCACAGCCATGTTAAGGACACCAATTGCCTCAGACCCGTGGGAACTGACAAAGCCTTCCTGTCAGTGAGGCTCAGAGGCATAGCAAAGCCTTCTTCTGGTCCAAGTGTTTTTTAACAACAATTGACCAGTATGTGCAAAAACTAGTAACTGCAGCTTCTTCCTCCAGATGACTGCAAAGTAAGACAGCTCTGCTACAGAGACTCCCATTAAGACTAGCTCACTTGGGGCTAGAGAGATGGCTGTTCTTCCAGGGGACCTGGTTTCAATTCCCAGCACAAACATGGCAGCTCACAGCTCTCCTTAACTCCAGTTCCAGGGGATCTGACACCTTCACACAGACATGTATGCAGGCGAAACACCAATGCAAAATAAAAGTAAGACTAGCTCACTCCTCCCCCCTGTGCTGCTCCTAGTAATCACACTGAGCTTCTGGGTTGTGGACTAGTGATGGCAGTCCATGAGAATGAGCATGGCCCACAGGATCCCAGCTTTTCTGTATGACACTTGTCCTTTCTGCATTCCCGTTGCCCCAAGCTGTGCAGGATGTGGGAAGGGAGGAAGGGGAAGTGCACGCAGAAGTAAGTGATTGCATCTGGAATCAGGAGCGGAAAGCAAGGCTGGGCTACACTTAGGCTTTTTTGGCGAGAACTCCCCAAGAACAAACCTACATGGACTATCTTCTGGTGGCACACCCCAGTTACTTAGGCACCTGACGTTAGACCCTACCTCCCAAAGTTTCCAGTGTTTTCCAAAAGTGACACCTTCAGATCAAATTACAACAGCCTCTTACACCATCAGTAAAGTACCCTCAGAGCACAGTAAACAGTGTATTTCCACACACATGTGGCAGTACCTCGGACATGTTTGCATCCATGTTGTTACAGGACAGTCATTAGGTTCAGGGATGGGCATTTTGCTGGATGAATTAGTTGCTCTTCCCTGGGAGTGTTAAACTTGGTAATAGAGAGCCTCATGTTCACCCTGTTTAATGTTAAGGCTGGAGCTTTAAAGCCAAGAACATCAATGGCCTTGTATCCAGCCATATAGAAGAAGCAGGGTGGACAAGATGAACCCAATGTGCACAGAAAGGCCAAGCTGGGGGTGAGGCAGAGAGACTCGGGTTCTAGTAGCCCTGTGGCCCAGCAAAGTCCTATCCTTGAAGTTCACGTTAAGAGTGGTTTCCTCCTTTTAGCCTAACCATAGTTAAGTTTCTATCAGAGGCATCTGGGCAGGTCTGATTGATTTTCACAATTCAACAAATTCAGCAAAACTTTCTCTCCCAGAATCCTTCCTCCCATGCTGACAGGCTTGAGTTCTGGTTCTGTGTCCCTGGTCTCAGCTGGCTCAAAAGTGTGCTGCTATAGACCTTACACTGATTTCTTATTGGAATCATGTGGGAAGAGCAGAGTTGGGGAAAAGAGCTGCCTTCGAATATGATTTTGCTATTTTTTTGAGATAGTCTTTACTCAATGGCAGCTCAATTCTCAAGGTCAGCCTTTGCAAAGTTATTGTTATTGCTATCCACTATTATTATTATTATCCATTACCGCGGCAGTAAGTTTGCCCGGAGTAATACAGAAGGCAGACACATCAATTTTATTCAAGAGTGGTTGTTGTTGTTGTTGTTTCTGAAGGGCTCCTTTTCATTATTTTAAGCCTTACTCAGATGTGGATCGAAAGAAAGGTCTTTCCAATTCCTACTCAGAAACTTCGGTTTCTTGAATCTATTTTCTGTCACCTGAGTATTTAAGCGTCGAGGTTGGAAAGACTTCTTTGCTTCTAACCTATACTATCTTATTTATTTAGAGGAAACTAAGGACTCTGTGAGGGAGGATGGCCAACTGATGCGAGAAGAGCAGAGTCTTTCATCATTCTTTCATCAGCAATTTAGCTCTCGCCAGGTAAGCGTCCGTAACTGTGTCGCCATCCGGCCCAATTTCCCTGAGAAGTGTATATTCAATGTCGGCTTTCAGCTGTGAAGCGTACTTTCCAACCAATTGCATAAGCCTCCCCAGGAGAAATTTTGATAACCTGGGTGCTTATCTTTTTACATTTCAGGGATGCTTTTGGACGTCTTTAAACCGAGCGTCATAGGCACGCTGGTGAGGAAACCAACATGCTCATGCTCGTTCCGGGGCCCAGGCTGAATGCCCGGGGAGTCACGGTCGAGTACCCGCAACGCTGGGGCCTTTGTCCCGCACGCCCGCCCGCCCGCCCGGCTCGCAGCGCTCGCTCCCGCTGCCCCGCGCTCCTTGGCCCCGGGAACACGCCGCAGCTCCGTGACACGCCGCCTCGGCTTTCTTTTCCCCCGCCCGATCCCGGGTAGCCTTCGCCCGCGGGGCCGCTCTCCTCCCCCCCGGCGCCCGGCGCCCGGCGCGAGCGGGAGTGCGCGCCGGAAGTGACGCGCGGCGCCCCGGCGCCCCGCCTTTTCCGCCGCGCGCCCCGCCCAGGCCCGTCTCTCGGCCGCGCGCCCCTCCCCCTCCCCGGCGCTCTCTTTCTGTCAGCCGCTGTCCCTCTTCCCCTCTTGGCCCGCGTCGGTGGCTTCCTCTCGCACCTGAGCGCACGCACCTGCCCGGGCCCGCGTCCTCTCTCCCTCCTCCCCTCTTCCCCTCCCGCCTTTCCCTTCGGGCCCTGAAGGCTCTGCCGGGTCGCGGGCGCCTGGCGGCTGCGTCACCGCCGCCCCCCTAGACAAGATGGACACCGCCGAGGAAGGTGAGGCGGCGGCGGCGGCGGCGGCGCCCGCGCCCTTGCAGCGGCGCCCGCGCTCCCGTCGGGCCGAGGCGCTCGCGGCGGCGCTCCCCCTACCCCCCACCCCCCGCAGCCGGGGGGTCAGTTTGCTCGCCGGGCCGGGAGGGCGCGCGGGTCCGGCGGGTCCTCCCCCCCTCCCCCCGCCGCCGCGGGCTCGGGTCGGAAGGTGACCCCTCTGCGCGCCCCCCCCCCCCGCCGGTTCCCTCGGGCGACGACCCCGCCGAGGCTGGGACCCTGGAGTGCCCGGACTTGGGGGTCCGAGACATGGGGGTGCCGGGACGTGGGGCGTCCGAGACCCTAGGGTGCCCGAGATGTGGGGGTTGACGGGGCGGAGGATCGCGGTCCGCAGAGGAGGGGGGGGCGGCGGTGCGAAGGCCGGGGGCGTTTCCCACTCCCCTCCCCCACTCTCCCCCCACCCCACCCCCACCCCCCTCTGTGTTCGAGTCTGTTTGCTGATTGTCCTGTGGGCCCTACCTCTTCGCCCCAAAACTTCTTTGTTGACTTTGAAACTTCGCGGAAAACACACGGTCAGGTGGTGACGGCCGAGTCAGGACTGAACTGACCTGACCCCCCTGTTGTAAAACCTTGCCCTCTGCTTACCTTACCCCTAAGTGCCTTGACCTGACCCCGGGAGCGGAGGGCTCCGAGAGACTAGTGGAGGGACAGAGGCTCATGTTTACGTTTCTTTTTTTTTTAAAAAAAAAACTTGACACCAGCGAGCGAGAATTGTTTTGTTTGTGAACGTGTGTTCTGGATGTGGTTGTTGGGAAGAATAAGCAGATAACACGAGACGAAAATGAGTCTAGAAGGCAGATGCTTAGCTGATGGTGACGGGGTGTTTTAAAGCAGTTTGATGTTTTTAGAGTCGCTGATTTATTAGTGAGTCTGTAGAGGAAGTTATTGATCATATACTTACCGGTGTGGATACTTACACTTCGGATATGTTTTTGTTAGAATGAGCGTCGTCTTCTGCCTAATGGTTTATTTTGGCGACTTTAAATGGCAATTGAATCAAGCACTATATTGAAGTCATTAGAGTAATAAAAAGTTTTATGTTAATGTGATGAGTTGATAAAACTTGATTTTTTTTTTAAGTCTTGATAAAAGCGTATAGTTTACAAAACATGCTCAGGAGCGTCCACTTTAGTTTCGACTGCCCTGGGGGAGTGTTGTGGATGTGTGTGTTAACCATTTAGGCTTATTTTAATAGCTTGTTTAAGGCTCATACAGGTAGTAGGAGACAGTTGACCCTATTCTCATTGCTTGTCGCTGCCAGTTCATTAGGCTACAGTGTGGTTATTATATGCAGTGAGTGAGACTAGTTGCCATTGGAGACCACTTTTGGAAAGACAGTAAAATGAAACTGTTGAAGATTCACAGTCACACAGGTTGATCTTGTAAGTGTCCATCTCTGTAGGTTTCGCACCCTTTTAGTGAATATTCAGTGTTTGTCTTTTTGTATTGTTGGTCTTTTAAGAAAGAGTTTTCTCCCTGTTCGTCTGTTTCAGTTTCTTGCACTACCATGACAGGCTTTGACTCAGATTTTTTGTTTTCTTGTTTTTAATAAAATTTATTTTGTTTTATGTATACGAGTGTTTTTTTCACATGTGTCGATGGTTGTAAGCTGCCATGTAGGTGCTGGGACTCAAACCCCGGTCCTCTGCAAGAACAAACGCTCTTAACTGCTGAGCCGTCTCTCTTGCTCCTTTTAAGTTTCAATGAATACATCTAGTAAGCCATGAGTATATTACTTGCTTTGTACCGGCATATTATATGAAATCCTGATTCTTTTCACCTGAGCACTTGGTGCTTGCAGAGACTGATGGTATGACTATAGCTATTAGTAACTCAGGGATTGAGAAACTAAGAGTGTCTGGTGTCATGAGGGAAATGGTACTTCTCATGTTTAAGGATACCTTTTTTAAAATAGCGGGATAAGATATAAATGATTTTTAAAATTGGTTTGAATATTGTTCTCAAAGTAACTAGTAGTTACCAAGGAATCACTGTGTGATTCCCCTTACTAAACACTTTATATTTTCATATCAATTCTGTTACCATGCTTAGGAAGGCTGCAACCTGCCATTGTACAGGTGAAGAAGGAACTAAAGTCTAGTTTGAGTAATTTTCCCAGGTTCACTCAGGTTGAAAATGGCAGGAGAAAGAGTCACACTCATGTCAGACCCAAACTTGGTTATTTATAAGTGAACATTAAGTGACTTGTTTTTGTCATTTCCTTTCTAGGATGAATAGTTGATGTAAATTAACAAGAACTATATTTTCAGCTGTTCTATGTAACTACTATTTGTGAAAGTGAATTTTGGTATTTTATTTACTTATTTGTATGTATGTGTCGGTCAGAGGACAACCAATAGGAGTCAGTTTTCTCCTTCTACCAAGTGGGTTCCAGGAGTTGAACATCAGGTCATTTTACCTGATGAGCCATCTCTCCAGGATATGAAAGTGAAATTAATAGTTCTAATGTCCACTTTTGTAAAGTTTTGAATTGGAAGTCTTTTTGAAATTTTCACAATTTAAATTTGACTTGAAATAACACTGGGAGGGAGGGATAGTTTCATGATAAATATTGTAAAGTGAAGATGACAAAAAGCTTGTAAACAACTCTTCTACCTGCTTAGTTACTGCAGGATAGTTCTTTTACAAAAGATTTATTTTTGTGCATATGAATGTTTTGAGTGTATGCATGTATGTATGTGCGCCATGTGCATGCTGTGCCATGGAGGCCAGAGAGAGCATTGGATGGAACTGGAGTTAGGAATGGCTGTAAGCTTCCTTGTGGGTGCTGAGAACTGAACCTAGGTCCTCTGCCAGAACAGCCAAGTACTCTTTACTGAACCATCTGTCCAGTTCCTGTAGATTATTTCCTAAATTAAAGAAATGCAATTAATTTTTTTTATTACAAAGGAAACAAGCATTTGTTGTTGTTGTTGTTTTTTGGTGTGTGTGTGTGTGTGTGTGTGTGTGTGTGTGTGTGTGTGTGTGTGTGTGTGTGTGTGTGTAGGTAGATAGGTAGGTAGGTAGGTGTGCCCGTTTCATGGTGTAATTATGGAGGTCAGGACGGTTTGTGGGAGCTGGTTCTCTACTTTCAGTCTACTTCAACCATGTGAGTCTTGTGTACCAAACTCAGGTTGTTAGCTTTAGTAACAAGCACCTTTACCTGCTGAGCCAACCCCGTGACTTCACAAATTGATATTTTAAGTATCCATTAATAAGAGTGCATACTGTATGAATGGAGAGATAGTTCAGTTTTAAGAGTGCCTACTATAGGGCTGAAGAGATGACTCAATAGTTAAGGTCACTAGCTGCTCTTTCAGAGGACCTGAGATCTAGTCCCAGCACCACATGTCAGCTCACAACTGTTTGTAACTTCAGTTCCGGGGAATCCTTTGCTCTCTTCTGACCTCCAAGGGCACCAGGTATGCACGTGGTGCACAGACATAGATGCAGGCCAAATACCTATACACATTAAGAAAAAAATTAAGTGCATTCATTTTTATTCTTTCATATTCTTCTAGAAGACCCTAGTTTACTTCCCAGCACCCATGTCAGATGTCTCACAACTGCCTTTAATGCCAGTTTCAAGGGATCCAACATACTCTCCCCTCTTGTGTACCAACACACATAGCTGACATACAGATACACACACACATACACATAAAGAAAAGAATAAATAAAATCTTTTTAAAAAATCTGTTAGTACTATCTCTTATTTAAGAAAATACTTATTTTCTTAAAGTATTCTATGAAAAATGATTGTTAGTAAATTACCACAGAAACTGAATGTTACTCTTAAAAATAGCATTTTGCATTCTTCTGATAGACCATCTACAATACTGTAATGCTCAGAATGTTTGTATTTACAGTAAAGCGTTTATTTTATAATTTCTTCCTGTTCATAGTAAATAATTACCAAAGTTTAAAGATTGCTAAAGTGCTAAATGTATTGAATTATATTTTTGTCAAACCAGCAAGTATGTAATTCATTCTTGTATTTGGTAGAAGACTCATTAGCTGTATATAGATTGTGTGAGTACAGGTGTGTTATGTAAACTACTGGCATCACTTCTTTCAGCTTCAGAGCTAGAGTAGAACTTAGGCATCTAGCCTCTTCGGCTTATAAAGGTGAGGAGTCCAATCTTGCAATGCACTGACATGTTTCAATTTCAGAAAAGAAATTCTATACTGTGCTCAAAGATAATTTTTTTCCTTGCAGGAAAAGTGCTACAGTGTTGGACTAGATACTGTAATCAAGAGCTCATGTTTGAAGCTCTCATAAAAAATATTAAGTATTTTGCTACAGTAGAATGCTAATATTCAACCCAGTGATACACAA